CTGACAGCCCTGCAACTCCAGCCATCTCTCGCTCAGGCTTGTGCGGTGCTGCCACTGGTTCAGCTCATTCCCCTCCCCCGCTACCACTTTTCTGGGATGGTCGTGTACCACCTGACAGGTGCCAATGTACCACAGGTGGTACCCGTACCACTGGTTGAAAAGCTCTGGTCTATATTGAATGGTGGCTTATATTACAATATCTACAAACATACTAGAAACAAAATAGATACATGTGATGATAATTCAGGAAACTCCAATACACAGCAGTTACAGAAGGAAATGGACAAGAGAGAACACAACAGCAAAAAGCCTTTCCTTTTATACTCAGGCTCTTAAAGGGACAGAGACTCCTGCTGAGTCATTCCTTTCATTGCATCATCCACCTTATATTACATCATTACGTAAACTGTTTAACTATTAAATTGTTATTCTGACAGAGTTAGACATTTGTATTTGCCTATTATATCTCATATATAAAATGTTTCTTGTGCGGAAAGCCACAAAGGTGATTTCTGGCAAACCTTGGATTTGGATCTATTCCATATTGCACTGAAGTTTCTAAGAGGGGTTTTGGAAATGATATAAAACCCTCTTTTTGGGATAACAATAATAATAACAACAATAATAGAGTTATAGGAAGGGACCTTTGAGATCTTCTAGTTCAGTGATGGCGAACCTTTTAGAGACTGAATGCCCAAAAACTGGCCCTGCCCCCACTCCACCCCCTGCCTCGCCCCTGCTCCGCCCCCATCCTGCCTGCCCGCAGGGCCATTCACCATCTCCAGGGCCCACTGCAGATCAACCAGCAGTGCTATGGCAGCCATGCCCTTTGCCCACGCCCCGCAGCATCAACTGTGCGCAATGGGGCATGAGGGCAGAGTCTTGTCTATGTTGTCTGGCTGCCATTTCCTTGGCTGAACTGCTCCACGTGGGCCACGCTTGGGGGCAACTCTTCTCCAGGAGGGCTGCTGGTGAGGTGGGGGTCATGGGGGAGGCAAGGCTGGGGCAATGGCACATGTGCCCACAGAGAGGTCTCCGAGTGCCGCCTCTGGCACCTGTGCCATAGATTCGCCACCACTGTTCTAGTTCAATCCCCTCCTCAGGCAGGAAACCCTACACATTTCAGACAAATGGTTGTTCAGTCTCTTCTTAAAAACTTCCAGCGTTGGAGCAATCACAACTTCTGGAGGCAAGTTGTTCCACTGATTAATTGTTCTAACTGTCAGGAAATTTCTCCTTAGTTCTAGGTTGCTTCTCTCCTTGATTAGTTTCCATCCATTGTTTCTGGTCCTGCCTTCAGGCGCTTTGGAGAATAGCTTGACTCCTTCTTTGTGGCAGCCCCTGAGATACTGGAACACTGCTATCATGTCACCACTAGTCCTTCTCTTTATTAAAGTAGACATAAAGTAGCAACCGTTCCTTATATACATTTTAGTCTCCATTCCCCTGATCGTGTTTATTGGTCTTCTGTGTACTCTTTCTAGAGTCTCAACATCTTTTTTACATTGTGGTCATCAAAACTGGTCATGTATAAGGTACCATTTGTATCTCTTTGTTCCGAACACTTAAGGCAAAATAGACAACATTCCACCAGCTTACAGAACAGAAGAACATGATCTGTTCTTCCCAGGAAGATGTATTGTATTCTGGCAATGTTCTAGGGATCTATCTGTGTCACCGATGCTAAAAAGTTCTGCAGATTGCCTCTGCAGAAAACCTGTTGGCTGACAATATAAGCTAAGGATAATGGCAGTGTGAAGTTGTTGCTTGTCACCAAATAAAATAAATATTGAAAATTAAAAAAAACAGATTTAAAATCATATATTTAAAGAAAAGTGTTGGTCTGTTTAGATTTGTATGTTTCCTGAAATCTAACCTTTCTTCTATGGTTTGCTTGGACAGGCCATAAAGCCAAGAGGGTTGACAGAGTATCTGCAAGCAAATTTGAGAGGGATCAAAATATAACTCCTGAATTATTAATCACAGTCTCTTTTGTGTGCAACTGGATATCTCATAATTATATTACTTTGACCAATTTAGTTCTGATGCAGCAATTTTAAAACTTTTGTAAGACTTAAGTTTGATTTTAAAAGACTTTTTGGCAATTAATTCAATTTAACATTTGTTATTTGGATTATTCTTGATACTATTGTGGTCTCTGAAGTTCCACATCTGGTAGAGGTTTTGGAGGAAACAGCTAAGGCTCCTAAGCCAGCAAAACTTTTTGTAAAAGTTGAAGGAATTTAATGAAATTGATATTAATCATTAAGACAATCTTTGGAATAATAACCTGAAACATCCTTCTTTTGGAAAATCAATGATAGGTTGCTTAAAATAATTTAAACTATCTATTTTTGATCTTAGGATGGGGTTAGTGCTGCATAAACTTTTATTCTGCAAATATTGGATATTGCAGAATATGTTTAATATGAGTTAGCTGCAATAGCCTTCCTTTGGAGATAGATTTCAGAATTTGGAACTGCAAAAACTAGGTCTGTTCTTTTATTGTCACATTTTGGATTGAAATCCACTTGGGTTGTTAACATGATTTTAGATTGCTTGTTGAATGTCAAGGAGATGCACATGTCCTTGTTGGCTCTTGTCTCAGTATTTGGAATCTATTAGTTATCAAGAATTGTGAACTTATTGTGCATGGGGGATAGCCAAAAGAATTATTATATAACACTGGAAGGATAAATCTGCAGTAATTAATTGCTGATATGTATTATTTTAATGATTTAAGTGACTATTTTTCTTTCAATAAAATGGCATGTTTATTTAATTCAATATTATCACACTGTTAGCAATTATATGTTTCTGCAAGTATATGTGTGTTCGTATCTTTATATCTATGCATTTCTATGTGTTCTGTGCTTAAATAAGTAGATAGAGAGAGAGAAAATGAGCAAACCATGGTATATGGGCTCACTATGTTAAACACCCCCCCCCACAGATAAAACCACATTTTTGCCTTGTTACCACATAAATGTATTCAGTGGTACCTACAGTTAGCAAAAGAAGTCTAACATACTATTTTTGTACACATTTGAAAAGTGCAGATGCATTTCCTTGCCTGACACGAATAACGTACACGTGTCATAAAAATGTTAAAACAATGACTCTTGCAATAATGTTTGCATCATAGAAATGTTTAGTAATCTATAAACAGATTGAAGTCATGTTGTTTATCACAGGCAAGAAGAAGGTTAAAAGCATCACAAGATAAAAACAAATGACTAAATAAAATATAAAAAACAAAAATAAAAAAAACATTTAGTCAACATAAACATATGCATGAGGGGAATAAACAAACCTGAAACACATTGAGGCTGTTCTGGAGTAGAAGTGATGACTGCAGGCCTCTACTATCCCGGTCACCTCACAAGTGGACTACTCCAACACATTCTGCATGGAGCTGCCCTTAAAAATCTCCTGCAATCTGCAATTAGTGCAAAATACTAATGTTAAGCAGGGAAAGCCAGTACTGTATTCCATGTAACATCAATATTCCAGGAGTGCCTTGATGACTGGCTTGTTTGGGATTGTACTTCAGGGTGCAGGTGCCTATAAAGTCTGCATGACATAGGGCCTGTGTGTCCCTAAGGTGTGCCGCAAAAGAAATGCTTACTGATAACACCCTTCCCTTCAACAAGCCAGCATTCTTTACAGAACTCCTCTCCTATGGAACACCTTCCCATCGAAGATAAGAATCATGCCCTTACTTTTAATAATCAAGATGTATTGAAAAGCATGCGTGGATATGGGTAACTCTGTATGGGATTAATTTTTATGTTTTCTCATATGTGGGGTCACGGATTTTATGTCTAAGAATATAATCATGGTTGATGGCATTTATATTTGATATATATTTTTATAATTGTATTGTTATACATTTGTTGCTGCTCAGGATAGGTTACTTAGAAACTAATAACTAAAAGTGGCATAAAGGTGTTTCAATTAAATAAAAAATGAAGGGCCTTTAGTCAAACACATTTGCTCCCAAAGCCCTCTAAAGCAGGGGTCCTCAACCTTGGCAACTTTAAGACTTGTGGACTTCAACTCAGCAAAGCTGGCTGAGGAATTCTGGGAGTTGAAGTCCATAAGTCTTAAAGTTGCCAAGGTTGAGGATCCCTGCTCTAAAGGAGCCAAGGTTTAATGACTTTCCTGCCCAAATTTTAGAAGAATTTTAGTTGTAGGCACATTGTTTCATGTTGCATAACATTTCTTTCACAAAAAGGGCTGATAACTATATGTTAATAAGTGACAACAGCAGACTTGAAATTATTCCAAAATTCAACATGTTGAGTTGTTCCCTTTAAAAGACTTGCTGAAATAGTCCCTTAAGATATTTCTGTTAAATATTTTATGCTTTCCCCCAAGCTTTTGGTTATGTAACAGTGGTATAGAGATCTATTATTGGTGTCTTTGGTTTGAGTCTGAACATACTGTGTTGGAAGCTGGTAGATAGTTATTCTCATGTAGAACTTTGACATGAAAAGATTAAAATAAGGAGAACTAGGCAATGCAGATCTGCTGTGTGACCTATAGAAGAAGTGCTTTCCTCATTGATTGATGATTCATTGGAAAGTCATATGTATCTTTCAAAAATTAGTGGAATCCTTTTAGTGAGTACCACAACTATTGATTGTGAAGGAAATGAATTAGTTGCTTTCATGGTTTAATAAAAAATATATAGACTGGACCCTGGGAAACTTTTTGCATCTCCATGAATAGTATCCATTTTTCTTTCAAGACAGTGGCATACTAGGCCTTTTGAAAACATTAACAAAGCAATCCTAAGGTAATGCATTTGGGATAGAGATTGCAGAACTGAATAACCCTTTCTGTCTAATAGTGTAGGAAAACCAGGATGCTCTTCTCCTTTATCCATAGACATTTTGATTCTGGGTAATCAAATATTCTGTCTTGCAAATATTATTTCCTCCTTTTCTTGTTACTTATAAAAAGATGAACAACCTTTCTTGATGTTTTCTCAACAGTGTTTTCGAGCCCTTTGCTGCAAAGGACCTCCACCTCCACGACCAGAATATGACTTGGTTTGCATAGGTCTCAGTGGCTCCGGCAAGACAAGCCTGTTGTCCCAGCTCTGCAGCGAAAATAGAGAAAATATAGTGTCCACTACAGGTGAACTGATGATTTGTTTTGCTTTTTCAATTATAGGCATTAAATGCAAAAGATCAATTAACAACTGCAACCAGGAGTGCCAGGATTGCACTCATTGAGCGAACCAGTAACATGAGGTCTTGATTAGTGACTGCTTCGCTCAGTAGCCAAAATTCCAGTCTTATTTATAGTTGCAAGTCAAAAACTATATATATATATATAAACAGGAAGCAAATCCCACACTTGCTAGCACTGATGATGTTACTATTTGGGTACTGATACATCTGCAAGTAAACAACCAAGGACTTTTGAATTAAAATAATGCAAAATGCATTTGCGTACTTTTATTTTTTTAATCTAACCGTTATACAACTCATGGTAACAATTATTAGCAATTTGAATTTATTAACCTAAGCTGACAAGCTGGTAATAGGTTAAACTGAGGAAAATAATGTTACAGTGAACAAATGTACTGCTTTGGATAATCTGTCAACTGGAAAAAAAGTTATTTTTTTATTTATTTCTATTTTCAGGTTTTAGCATAAAAGCAGTGCCGTTCCAGAATGCTATCTTGAATGTAAAAGAACTTGGAGGTAAAGAACACTATATATAATATGTACAGCTGATGGTAGCATTTGATTCCTTTGTGACTTGATTTATGACAATAAGTAATAGTTTTAATACTTATCAAATACCTTTTCACCACTAGGTGTAGTCACTGCCTGGTACAATCTAAGTAAATTCATCTCAGGAAGAAAGTGAGGAAAATGTTTAAATAGTGAAAGGTTGAAGCAGGGAAATTGACTTTAAAAAAAGAGATAAGGAATTGTTATTGAAAGTGGCTAGATATAATAGTGTGAATTTCCAAGAGAGGTATTACTATCAAAGTACAAGAAATAATAGTTTTAATCAAAGCCATGTATAAGATTTGGGAAAGATGACACTATAACAGCTTAACAGAAAAAAAAGACATTGAAAAGGAGGGTTTATGTTACATGATAGGATGAAACTTATATTTCTTGAAATAATTAGATAAGTGTCATGTAAAAATTCCAGACAACATAAGGTCTATTAGAAGGGCAACTCTTCAGGTGCTCGGAGAACTGCAAGACATTCTACTATCTGATAATTCATTCATAATTATCAGATAAAGAAAATTCTTCTTAGAGCTGCTACATTGTACTTAGGATGCACATTTCCCCTTAATTATGTATGGCAAGACTGCCAGTCATCATGGATCTTGATATTACACAAAACGTCTTGAACAAACAGCATCATTGGGAGATGAAGTCTGATATATATAGAAGAGCACCAGGTTGGGGAATACTAGTCTGGCATTGCTTTCTGAGCACTGTTTTGGCTATGTTAGCTGATCTGTTGTGTATATTTAGGCTGGCTCTATAGAATCAGCAATTTTGTCCTCAACTCCACATTTTGAGTTTAGTTTCATTCATAAAGTTTTAATTGCTGATCACTTTGGACACATGACTCTTCTTTTGCTTGCCATCAAAGAAAACATTAAAGCAAAACTATTTTGTGGATGTTTTGTTCTACATACAGGTATTCCTCAGCTTATGTTCAAAACGGGGACTGGAATCTTTGTCATTGAGCAAAGCGGTCATTAAATCAGATGTCCATGTAACACTTCGCCCAACAACCACAATCCCAACTCTCCCAGTTGTGGTTGTTAAGTGAACATGCAGTTTGTTATTCTGAGTGCTAGGGAGAGGACCCTCTCTTTACCCCATCATGTCCAGGTTCACTTATCTTCACCTTTTTCTGCAGCTGCATGTAACTTCAGCTAATATCAGTCACCATATCACAAAAAAGATGTTGAGAGTTTGGAAAAAATTCAGAGAAGAGCAACTGAGATGATCAAAGGCCTGGAGACTAAAACATACGAAGAACAGCTGCAGGACTTGGGTTTGGCTAGTCTAAAGAAAAGAAGAAATAGGGGAGACATGATAGCAGTATTCCAGTATTTGAGGGGCTGCCACAAAGAAGAGGGGGTCATGTTATTCACCAAAGCACCAGAGGGCAGGACAAGAAACAATAGTTGGAAACTGATCAAAGAGAGAAGCAACCTAGAATTAAGGAGAAACTTCCTGACAGTGAGGACAATTAACCAGTGGAACAGCTTGCCTCCAGAAATCGTGGGGGCTCCATCACTGGAGATTTTTAAGAAGAGGCTAGACAGTCACTTGTCTGAAATAATATAGGTTTTCCTGCTTGAGCAAGGGCCTGGATTAGAAGACTTCCAAGGTCCCTTCCAGCTCTATTCTATTTTCATGTGAGACAAAGCCTTTCTTTGTCTGCCTTGTGCCATCCTGCAAATGGGTCCTGTTCTCACAATCATTGAAAGGCTCCTTTCCAAATCATGTGATTTGGAGAAAGGGCCTTCCTAGGGCTAGAAAGCTAGTGACCGCCATCCTTCTGAAGGATAGAAATCTTTTTTCTAGCACCATCATTCTAGATGAGTAGAAATTCTAGAACATCATCATTCTAAAAGGCTAGAAGAGTACGCCTCAGGCAGGCTACAGAAGTGGAACTCAGAAGTTCAGGATGTGAGCCCCATTTCTTCAGCTGAGTGGAGGAGCTGGGCCAGAGTGCAGAAACAGTGCTTGGATTTTCAGGATACAAGCCCCATTTTCTGCAGCCTGATGGAGTAGCCAAGCTTCCCTCCATGCATGGAAGAGAACACCTCCACTGTGCTGCAAAAATGAAGCTTACACCTCCTGGATGCAATCCCCATTTGTGTAGTTCAGTGGAGGGTCTGAGCTTTACTCAGGAAGCAGCTTTTTCAGCCAGCCCCCAGAGAGGAGAGGAAGTCCTTTCAACAGATGGCAGCAGCTTTCAACCTTCCCTGCTGGCTTCCCCATTGACTTTCTGGGAAGAAAGCAGAGAATATTGCAGATAGCGATCAAATGAACATGGAGCACTTGGGAATTGGTTGTAAATGTGAACAGGTTGGCAAGTACAAAATGTGGTCATATGACTACAGAAGGTGGCATAAAATTTTACAAAGGCTAGAACTGCTTAATGGACCATAAATAGCAATAGCACTTAGATTTATATACTTTATAGCTCTCTCTAAGCAGTTTACAGAGTCAGCATATTGCCCCCCAATAATCTGGGTTCTCATTTTATCAACCTTGGAAGGATGCTAAATGTCATAACTAGAGGTCTCCCTGTAAAGTACTTTATTCTGGATATTCAACTATGTTTTATGAAGAAAATGGATAAAATACCCAATTTAGTGCTGAGAAGTTCCATAAAAACAAAATTTCTTTGCTGGATAATGCAAATTGATTAAATAATGCATAGAAGAGGAGTCAACGTAAGAGTTTCAGAGAGAAGCAAAGGAACTGAGATTAAAAAAAGAAAGAATGTGAATTTTAATTTTATTTTTTTAAAGATGAAAAAGCTACAGCTGAAAAATATAATCACTGAAAAAAATTGGCAGAAATAAATATTTTTAGAGATATGGGTAGTAAGGGAGAGCCAGTTTGATATATGTAAACAAGATATATGTAATTCTGTGCTGTATGTCATCTGATTAATATTTATGTGTGTTTTTTGTTTGGTAATTGCCAAAGGGGCTGACAATATCAGAAAATACTGGAGTCGTTACTATCAAGGATCTCAAGGAGTAATATTTGTATTAGACAGTGCTTCTTCAGAAGATGATTTAGAAATTGCTAGGAATGAACTGCATTCTGCGCTGCAGCATCCACAATTATGCACTTTGCCATTTTTAATATTGGCCAATCATCAAGACAAGCCAGCTGCTCGTTCAGCACAAGAGGTATGTTTAGTACTGTAAGAACCTTTGTGTTACTAATTGTTTGAATGCAATAATGGAAAAGTCATGACTGTATGTATATCTTATGCATATGTAGAATCTATAAAGTTTGGATGAACATAATTATTAATTAATGAAAAAAAGATACTTTTAGGTCCACACCAAAGATTGCCTATGTGTTTTGTTTTGTTTTGTTTTTAAAAATATGTCTGCAGTTTCTCTACTTTTATCTTACTGTCTTCTTTTTCAACATCCTTAACATTTCTAACAAGATGGTTATTAAAATTTATTTAAAATATTATGTTTTTACTTGTCAAAGCTTCCACTTTTAAAAAATTTAGCACATGTCTAGGTTTGGTTAGCTCTTACCTCAAACTGTGTCCATTTCTGATATCAATTTAAGGAGGATTAAAAGCAGTTGTAACAAATTTTAGAGAAGGGCAAAGAAAATGATCAGGGCAATAGAAATTATGGAGAAATTATGAAGAGCTGTTTACCCTAGAAAAAAACAATTAATGGAGGAATATGATTACACAGTTCAACTTCTGAAGGGTTGTCACACAGAAGAAGGTCAGGAACTCTTCTTTTTTTATTTCAGAGGCAGGACATAGAAAAATGGATTTAAGTTACAGAAAAATAGCCTGATAGTGGAACGAATTACCAAGATAGGTGAGGGTTTGCTCTTAGTTCTATGTGTTCTTGCAGAACCTGGACAGCCATCTGTTGGGAAGATTTTATTTGGATTCATACACTGAGCAAGGAGTTGGGCTCAGTGACCCAAATTACCCCTTCTAGCTTTATGATTTTGTGAGTTTCCCTACCATTGAGGAAGTTAGTTGTAGTTAAGCTTATTCAAAAATAGGATGGTTTATTTTCTAAATAATAATTTATTAAATTCTGGATTTTCTTTGTTAAAAATGTGACATTTTTGGATCAAAATTTCCAAATGTATGTGGCTTTATATTCCTCAAGTATTTCCTTTTTAGTGATCAAGATTGTATTAGTGATACCATCTTTACATTTCTTTACACGTAGTCTCCCAGATGCAAAAATTTGACATACGGTATGCGACCAAAAAATAATGCAGTTATAGATATTAAATGCATGATATTTTAATTTACTCTTACATTAACTTAACATTTATATACATTCAATGATAACCAATATTCACTTCTTGAAAATTCAAACCTCAGTAAACCTGACATTGAATTTTTCATGATATTACTTCATATAAAAAGTTGACAATCACTAACATTCCAATATAGGACTGGGAAAAAATCTATTTAAATCTATTAAGAATTGCTATAAATCACTGTTGAATATACTGAACAAATGCACAAAATGTAGAAAAATAACAATTAGATAAATGTGACAGCTTTTCATATCCAAGAACATTAAAAAAATTAAACCATAGATTCCGTCTGATTTTACAGCAGGTTCGAAAATGATTCCACTCATAAGAGGTAAAGAAGTATCTTTAATTAAGTATATAGATTATATGAAGATATGTATTAATTCCTAATTAGTTCTGATATTCTCTGTGATTAATGCACAAAGCAAATAATGCACAGAAAATAACCCTTTTATTGAAACACTGGGTTCTATCTGAGCAAAGATTTTGGTCACATTTCTGTTTTTTGTTTTTTATGGTATGAAAAGCAAAAAGTGAAACAAAATATAGCATAAAAAGAGTGAAAACTTCTGAATCTGTTTTCAGATGTGCTTCTGATTCTTTGTCTTTTCTCCTGGTAACAGCAACTCTGAACGTGTTTTTCTGAAAACCAGGGAGCAACTTGTTTGAATGGCAAACAATGCATTGAGAGGCCATGTCTTTGCATGCATCTGAATGTATTTCCTTAGTAATGCTGATACTAGTATTCAGGCAGATTCATATTAGATGAAGTCATTCTTATATTGCTTCTAGGAGGTATAGTACTTTAAAATTCAGCCTTATCTGTTAGTTTTATATAGGCACAATACTGAGTAGTTACTTGTCATCGGTGGATTCAAGGTTTTAGTATTGGCATAATTGTGATTTATTTCAAAAATAATGATTGCCGAAGCATTTTCAATCTGACAAGCTGTATAAATGTTGAGTAATAGTTACAGAATTTTTTGCCTCAAATGTTGTAAGAGCCAAGAAGATTCCACAAACAGCTGTTTGTGATGTTCACTTGTGGGAGTTATATGCAGGGTTTCCAAGCTCTGTGGGGCACTGTTAAAATTGTATGATGTAAATTATTTATCCAAGCCATCAGGAAAAGAACCACATGTAACTATTTGAAACTTATGCAAAATCGTGACACTGTTTGCTTATCTGAAAAAAATGGTCTCATTTCCTTTTCAGTCATACTAGTTTTACAGTGTACTTAAGAATAAGCTTATAATTGCATTATTCAGTTGTTTCCATTTATCTTTTAAAAATCTGACTTTTTTATTGTAACGAAATAAGCTAAATTTTGGAAATACATTATTTGCATTATAGACATCTCACAAGAGAAAAGCTTACTTTGGGAAGAAATGTACATATTTAATTATTAAATGAAATGATTCAGACATCAAAGAAATGAATATTCAAGAAATATGATAGTTTATTTTCTATATGTGCTTATCAAATATAAATCCAAATCAAGGTATTATCATATATATGTTTAAAGTTCTGGAATTATCACAATTATCTCCTTGCAATGAGACTTCTTCGATGTTAAATTAGACTTTAGACTTATGCTTCCAAAAAATTATCTTCTTATTCTAGTGTTCCCATTTGTCCCCACACAGGTTTATCATGTATGGATATCTTTATTGTTACAAACCAAGTGGGGGCAACTTAAATCTACTTTAAGCTTCAAAAAAATCTTTGTTTACACAATGCCCTGTTGTTCATCTGTGTATATTATTTCTTTAGTACATTAAATTCCAAATTGTCAGTTCTGATATATTAGGGAAGAAGCTAGATCTTTAGATTAGATTGGAAGCCACAGTCCTTATTATGGGTGGCTTAGGAGCAATGACTTTTTGGATCAAATCAATTTGGCTTTGGTTTATTAATTTGGGAAAAAAATCTTTGCAGTCTTAGAACCAAGACCTTAGCTGTTTTCTTGGCATCCAAATAGATCAATTGATGGGGCTGTATGATGAGCAAAGTGTAGGCTTTTTCCCAGTTAATTAAGCATTCCATTTTCTGCTAATTACTATAATGCAGACTTTGTTTTGAATGGCATCCAAGAACCTTTGTCTGAATGGTTCTATAATGCTGTCTAGGAAGCTCTTATAGATACCCATTGAAAATGTACTCCATTGAAAACCCATCTGGGCTGTGTGCTCCCCCCTTTTAATTGCCTGTTCAGAGGGTTTTTTTCCCTTGTCAGTTCACAAATTTGTGTATGTCGCAAACTTGTCCATTCTGGTAGCTTGATTTTTATGTAGGTATTCATTCTCCCATCAGTACTAAGTTTGTATTTAACCATTTTTTGTTTTGTTTGGGGGTTTTGATTTTTTTTTCTTCCTTTGTGTCTACAGAGTCCCATTGCACATGATTCACTGGGATATGATTCTGTTTATTAATTATTTACCTTTTTTGTTATCCATTATATAACTTTTGAGATATTGATAGCATGTTGTGATTAAAAATATAAATGTTTTACTATCTTATTAGTTGATTAAGTATAACTGTTATTATGAAAATATCCTAATAAGCTATATAGAACTAGATTGCTTAAGATTATCTGGACTGGAATTCCTCACTGCTGCAAGGTTTTCAATTTCCTTGGCCAAGATAGCAATTTATACATCTTATCCAGTCCTGCAGTTTCTACCTTCTTTATTATTATTCCTTGATTGATCTATTTACTGAGTCATGTCAGGCTCATGTAAATCAACAGACCACTGATCTAAATAAGCCATTGAGCTTCTATAACATATATTAGTATCCGGTATGCATTTTGGGCTAGGCTACCTTAGATGCTAATGACTTGTGTGGCTATCTATATTCAGTATAGTATTAATGAAGCTGTCACCTTGAGAATGAATAAGGGTTATTTTAAAAACAAAGTAAATGCCAGTTGTCATTTGTCATATCCTGGAGGTTTTTTTTTTAAAGACTTTGGATGCATTCAGAAGTGGACGTTCTGAATATATTCAGTATTATTTCTTCTGAGAAATAATTCTTCTGAGGAGAATAAATCAAGAGTGATATACATTGAACATTTTTTTCTTGCTTATATTCATTTAGATTGCATGGCCATCTAAAGGTTGGCATGCTCTATTTGATAGAATAGAGTCACCCAATAAAATCTGATCTATAGTACGAATGAGCAGCCGTTTAGAAGCAATTTGGAAAAGGTGCCTCCTAGGGTGTGAGACCATCTGCCTGTCTACAGCTGCCCCACGATCCTGGGAAAACCCACAGCTTCTTTAGAGTTGCAGACAGGTGCAGGTGCTCCAAAGACCTTTGTAGGATCTAATCTATAGCATGTTACGTTTTGACCTGTTAATTTGAACAGCTTAAAGAAGTTGAGGTGATGGGAAGTTTATAATAAGCTCCTGTAAAAAAAATGATTTTAGGATGCTCATATCTCAGTTTTTTGTAGATAAGACTTGCAACAGTACATGCACCTTCTATGAAGCATGTGATAAAAGACACAGAGGGATCTGAGGAAACAATATGTGATGGAGATGGTGTCTGGGCTAAAATATAGCAGAGGAAAACTATGGAATTGAAAAAACAATAAAATGGGTGGACAGCATGGTGACATTAACAGTTTTGAGAAAACATCACTGGATCTAAAATGATAGAATATATTTAATATGAGTCTAAGAATAAGTAAAGGCAAGATTTGTGGAAATGATAATAGGGATATATAGCTAGATAAATAATACCAGAAAAAGTGGATTTATGTTTTTATAAACATAGCATGAGTGTCACGTAAATGGTTAAGGTACCAGGTTATAAACCAGGAGACTGTAAGACTTTAGGCAGGCTGTGTGACTTTGACTCACTCTTT